GAAAGGAAATTCAACTCTTAGATTTTGTTTATAAATCATTTTCCAAAATTGTCACAACATATGAAAAAGCAATGACAGTTGCTCCTGACAGTTCAGTTTTCAGGAGTTTTCATTTTAGTAATCAATACTAAATATATCAGCAATATATATCAGCAATAATAAATATATCATATAATATTTAGTATATATTTAATGTTTTCTTCCTTTGAAAATCTCACATTGTATATCAATTATTGTGTTTAAATTCTACATTTTCAATAAAAGTAAGGTAAAACAAGGCATAAAGGTAAGGTAAAACAAAATAATTATCAAATGAGGTCTAGAAAAGCAGAATGATTTTGATGTAAATATTATTATTAAATAGTTCTTTACTATTTATTAGGTTCAGTAAATGCTCCAAGTTTTGTGTTATAAGATTTTTCAGATTCAGTCAGATCTCTGAGTGGTCCCCTTTTTTATTAATTCTTTGGGAAGTGTTGAAATCATTCAATTAGTTATGATTAGTCTAAAGAGAAAATAATTTCATCTTCATATTGTCAGCAATTAAATATTGTAATCTTTGCCGTCTTTACACTGAGTGAATTTCTTTGTGCTTTCCTCTTTATGAAAATAAATACTTAGTCCTGAGGTTGGATGTTTTAAGTTTCAGCTATTTTTTTCCTGTATTTATTCAAATGATCAATGGGCTGCTTATTGAGCTGTATATTTTTGTCTGTATCAATCCTCATTTATTTGTGCAAATCATTTGGGAGATCTGCTTTCTCAGCAGAAATAAATGAATAATAAAGTGATACAATCCAATTTGTAATTTTGATTAAGTAATTAATATAATTTGAAATTCAGAACTATCAGGCTACCTTGTTCTTTTACTATCTGCACCATGTAAAGTGTGTTAATTGTTTCTGCCAGTCACATATTTTATATTTTGATTGGAATCATTTGGAAGAGAAAATCTTTAAATAAATCTTTATTATTATTTGCAATGTCAATTGCAAATAGTTTTAGTTTATTTTCTTAATTTGCTAATTTAGTTCCTGAAATTTTGTTTTCTTTAAACATCTTCTTTGCCAATGACTACAGATAAGAATAAAGAAAGAGACAACACAAACTTCTCTTCATTATAATATATTTTTGTAATACCCCTCCTGCACATTTACAATCATCTTGGATTTTTTTCTTCATAAATTCTCTGTATCCATATGAAATAAATTTGAACTACAATTCATTTTCTTCAGAATCGTAAGACTGAAAGACCAATTCCAAATTATCAAAAGTTTTCTTCACATTAAATAACATTATTGTTGCCCTCTTGTTTGTCAATAACATTCAAGATATTTCTAATAGAGTATGTTATACATCTCTTTGGAACAATTCCAATCTGACCAGGATTGGAATATCATTTCTTCTCTGCAAGCATTACTGTAAAAAAGAAATCTACATTTAATAAGACAATAGGTCTATATGGTGGATTGAGTTGTCCCCCTCTCTGTAGATCAGAGGGATGAAATGTTCTTTCCTTCATCATGTTGCTGTATCTAATTTATTGCCTGGGTTACTGGTTTAATCAAAATATATTGACAGTTCTTATGGTATATTTTAGAGAAGCCATCAGGTTCTAAAGCAGTGTTTCTCAACTTTGACAATTTTAAGGCATGTGGACTTTTGTCCAACCTTGTCAAGGTTGAGAAACACTGTTCTAAAGCTTTGTTCAGTTTCAGTTTTTGTATTGTTCAATATTCTATTGTACATTTAGATTTTTTTGTGTTAGTCTGTTAATTTCATGCTCTTCAATCTTTTCAGATGTCTGTAATTTAATTCTAATTATTTTAGAATTGTGCTTTAGCATTGGTTATTGGATGAAATTAAATGTAAATATTTTACTAAAGTTTGTTTTCAATAATTTGCAGTACAGTATTCTTATCCATTTATTTATTGTAAATTAATGTTGTTTCTTGAAGTTTATTTCAATATTGTATTTTATTTTTTCAATGTTTTAATTTATTTTATTCTAATTATGTTAAAAGTGTGCTTAACTTTGATTACGGAGTATAATATATAATTATTTATATTTATACGTTATAGTTAGGGGCACTTATCTCAAAATCTTTTTTTATTTTTTTGGAAATATGATATATAAATAAACAAATCTCTAAATATTATTTAAAAAATAGGAACAGTGGATGACTGCAGCCAAGTCATCTTTTTGAAATCTTCCTACTTGCCTTTTCCCCACAACAATCTTTTTGAGAGATCCCCTGTAATATCCTTTGTGCCTGCAAAGATTGGCAGTCTTTCACTTTAAAGAAAGAGTATAATGCCAATGCTCACCTGAAAAAGAAATAATATTTGAGGATTATCTAGGAAAATCCCCAAAATTAGAACAAAGACTTTTTCCCTTTTAAAATCTACTTGTCTTGCTGCTGAAATTTTAGTAGGTGTTGATATGATCAGAACAAAACCAGATTACTGTAGGTTAGATAGGCTAGTTAAAAACTTGCTGACTAGATGGCTCTGAAAAACTAAATAGCTCCTTCTTGTTTGAATCCAAAATTCCAATATTATGGTTCTCCCTCCTTATTTCTCTGTACTGTGGATTTACAGCATAGCTCCATTTTGTCCCACACATTTGCCTTTTATTAAAATTGATAAGGTTAAACTTAAGTTCAATATTAATATTTCAGTCCCCCCATCTTTCTGAATTGCCCTTTTATATTTTTATAACCTCTTGTTTTGAATATTTTATTCAAAGCAACATAGCATCTACCAGCTGTGGATCCCTCTATAGCTTTATAAATTATAAATGTTACATGTCCATCTCACCACAATCAAAAAGGTCAAGGCAATTGACATAAGTATGCATACATAGCTCCAATTTTATTTTCTGTTTTCAGTTTCAGAGAGGAGGCGAATGAGGGTGGAAAAGGGATGAAAGTCAGCTTGATGAATATAAAAAGCCTTCTCTAAAATTGCACAAAGTGTGAAAGATTCATTGATTAAATGAATGTTTGACAGTTGCAGACAGCAGTCAAAAATGTCCTATTTATGTAAGCCTATGGCTAATAGGCTAAACTCAGTTTAATAGATCATACCTTATGCAAACCTGGTCAAATTTTCACTTTTTGAATGTGCAGTTGGTAGTGATTAAACTTTGAGGTGTGAAACAAAATATTATCCATGCATTTTTTATCCAGCAGCTCAAGGCAGCATATAGTGCTCTCCCATTTTCCCTCACAATAATCCTGTTAAATAGCCCAAGGTAAACTTTCATTTCTGAAATTAGGGGATTAGGAAAGTGGAGGCTAAAATATATGAAGAATGGTTGCAGGAACTGGGTATGTCTAGTTTAGTGAAAAGAACGACTAGGGGTGACTTGATAGCAGTGTTCCAATATCTCAGGGGTTGCCACAAAGAAAAGGGAGTCAAAGCACCTAAAGGCAGGACAAGAAGCAACGGATGGAAACTAATCAAGGAGAGAAGCAATAAAGAACTAAGAAGAAATTTCCTGACAGTTAGAATAATTACTCAATGGAACAACTTACCTCCGGAAGTTGTGAATACTTCAACACTAGAATTTTTTAAGAGACTGGACAACCATTGTCTGAAATGATATAGGGTTTCCCTGCCTGAGCAGGGGGTTAGACTAGAAGACCTCTAAGGTCCCTTCCAACATTATTATTATGGCCCTGAAACCATATAGGCCTTGATAATCTAAGAACAGCACTTAAACCATAGCAACATTACTTTAAACCGAAGCAAGCTACTAACCCAGAGCCCAGTTGTAATATGCTTATAGAGCAGTGGTTCTCAACCTGTGGGTCGGGACCCCATTTGGGGTTGAACGACCATTTCACGGGGGTCGCCAAACAATGCAGTCCACCATTTTTTTCCCCTTTTCCTTAGCTGTGTTACTCCCTTTTATTCTATTGGCTTTTGAAAGCCAATAGAATAGACTCTCTTGAATAGAGTCTAATTCTATTGGCTTTCAAAAGACAATAGGAATTGTCCAGGCTGTCTCTGCCCTGCTGAGCCCACCAAAAGTCCCATTCTGCAAACGGTGCTGCATCAGTTGAGTAGTCCTCGACATACGACCGGTTGAGTAGTCCTCGACTTATGACCGGTTGGGAGTCACGGCATTAAAAAGATTGAGAACCACTGTTATAGAGTCTAGCTGTAAGCTAGCATGTGGATCACTATATTTTGTAATAGTTTCTGTGTCGTTTTCAAAGGCAAACCTGTCTAGAGCACATTTCAATAGTCCAACCAGGTAGCGATAGGTTAAAATTGTGAGACTCTGCTATTTCAAGTAGGTTAGTAAAAATGCCTTCTGGCTATGGCCTCCACCTACCTATTTAGCAATAGTTGTGGGAAGGACCCTCAAATCATGGACATGCTCCAGGAGTAATTCTATCCCTTCAGGCAGCATTATCGGAGCTAGCAGGGAAGAAATAGTAATTGCACATACTTAGATTTCACTCCAGCCTGTTCCTACCTATCTATAGTCTTGGAATTTTCTGATATTCGAAAGAGATTTCAGGTGCATTAATTAATTGATTGATTTAAATAATGATGATGATGATGATGATATATTAAATATGTATCTTCAAAACTGTTGCAATTATTAAAAGCAACTTAATATCTCTGTTTTAAATACATTTTATTTAAGCAAGCTCCTCTACTCTCATTCGGATATTCAGACAAAGTGTGTACTGGACTAAGCCTAGATCATTTGATTGATTTGTGAGTTCACGTGGCTCGCTGCTAAAATACTTGTGGTAACCAGTAGTGGATATTTGTGCTGAACAATTTGGTTTCTGGAACTCAGAAAAAGCACTTGCAATTAAAGTTCTTTAACTCTAAACATATGCCTTTGCAAAAGACTCTATTGAGTTCTGGTAGAAACAAAAGAATAAAGTGGGTTCCAGAAGCCTAAAGTGTGCCTAGTCCTACTTTCTATTTTTTTAATATATATATATATATATATGTATATATTTTTTTTCCAGGCAAATAAGGTTGAGAAAGCTGTATCAGCTGCTCACACATTCCTACAGAAGAATCCCAAGCATGAGATGACCCAAAAGTACCTCAATTATTACAAGACTATGGTGGATGTAGATGAGTACCTTGTAGACTTGGAAGCACAACCATATGAGGTACCTATTTGGAGTATTATAGAGAGGAAAATTTATCCCCCTGATGGGGCTACAGTTGAAAGCTTTAAAGAGTTGCTAGATCAATTAGCTCTATAGGGTCTGCAGGTCTCTTTGTAGTAAATATTTTGTTAATTAATTAGTTTTAGACTGCCATAGTCAACTAATTAATAAATTATTAAATACCCATGATATAATAATATAATGGTATCTAGAAGCACTCTCTTTTAATCTGCTACCAGAAAATCAGCAGATTTGGGGTAATGTAATATCCATTGAAAAATTGTACTACAAAATGGAAACCACAACATCTCCTTCTAGCTTAAGCCCACCTAATTTCACAATACTGGAGAACTACTAAAGAAAATTCCTGAGTTTTATATTGAATGGGTTCATTTTGGTTGAAGGAGATTGCCCTGAAACCATATAGACCTTGATAATCTAAGAACAGCACTTTAAACCATAGCAACATTACTTTAAACCGAAGCAAGCTACTGACTGAGAGCCCAGTTGTAATATGCTTATAGAGTCTAGCTGTAAGCTAGCATGTGGATCACTATATTTTGTAATAGTTTCTTTGTCGTTTTCAAAGGCAAACCTGTCTAGAGCACATTTCAATAGTCCAACCAGGTAGCGATAGGTTAAAATTGTGAGACTCTGCTATTTCAGGTAGGTTAGTAAAATGCCTTCTGGCTATGGCCTCCACCTACCTATTTAGCAGTAGTTGTGGGAAGGACCCTCAAATCATGGACATGCTCCAGGAGTAATTCCATCCCTCCAGGCAACATTATCGGAGCTAGCAGGGAAGAAATGGTAATTTGCACATACTTGGATTTCACTCCAGCCTGTTCCTACCTATCTATACTCTTGGAACTTTCTGATATTCGAATGAGATTTCAGCTGCATTGTCAGAGTGGCCCAGAGTGATTATACCTCACCTGAACTAATGGATAATTAATCCCAAGTACTTTGTGTAAACATTAAAAAGTAGTGGCAACAGTATCAAGCCTTCTATGTATTCCACATGTAAGCCACTGGGGCCAACTTTTCCTCTGCACCTGTCAACTAGAACTGGCTACAAAGGAAGGAGTGAAACTACTCAAACATAGCGCCTCCAGTCCTTACAGATAGTTTAGAAGGATTTCATGGTTGATAGTATCAAAAGCAGTCAAGAGGTCTAATAGGAATCCACTCCCCATATCTAGATCCCAGTAACACCATCAACCAGCATCACAAATACAGATTCTTTCTCATGCCCAACTAATTAGGGGCTCGAGAATCTCCTTCTTCAGCATATAATGTTGCCTGAAATCTTTTAGAGTCCAAAAAGAAGATTGCGGCAATCATCAAACAAAATCAACAAAAACCTGGTAAAGATAATAATGTGTTTTAAACATGAAACAGACTGGTGTTGGAGGGTTACACTTCAATGCTCTTTTTGTATGTCTTTTCTTTCTGTCACATGTACTATATGAAAAAGTCATTTTAGTAATCTTTGCTTGCTAAATTGATGTCTTCCACTCTATATCAGTCTTCCTCAACCTGATGTCCTCCAAAAGAGTTGGAATTGCAATTCCTGTTGTGGAAGTTGCAATCACCATAAGTAAAAGGTACTAAATTGGGGAATGCTGCTCTAAATATTCAGGAATGAATCAATTCAATTTTATGGCGCTGATGATCAGTAGAAGGGATTAGATAATGTCGATTACTGGTTTTCCTGCAAATTGTTCTGAGGGCTGCTGATTTTCCATGTGGCCCATGAAGCAACCTTATGTAGTCTGCCAGCATTTTTAAAAAGTTAATAAATTGACTTTGTTAAGTCAATTTAAGAAATTCAGGAACTAGAAAGGGGAAAATTATTAATTTAAATTTAAGATTAAAGAGTTAAATAAAAACATAACTCTATATACTCAACCTGTTACTTTCAATTTATTCTTTGCAGACGGTTTTTGTCAGAGCAGTGAAACTTTACAATAGTGGAGATTTTAGGAGTAGCATTGCTGACATGGAGCATGCACTGTCCAAATACTACGAGGCCTATGAAAATTGCCTAGCTGGCTGCGAGGGTAGCTATGAGCTCTGTGAATTTAAGGATTTCTATCCAGCCATAGCAGGTAAGGGCACCAGGGACAGATCAGCTATCATACGTATGCTGATCCACTGTCCAGTTTGTTGCTGGTGTACAGTTTGAAATGTCAATTATGCAAATGAATAAAATTATTTCTCCTAATTTTAATTGGTTTTGGGTGGGACAAGGATTTTCACAGGTGCAGGATTTAGTATATAGAGCTATTGCACAGAGTAAAAGAGAATTACTTCCACTTCTACAGCATTCTTAGTTCATTTGCATACAGAGTTGTTCTCAGTGATACACATTTTAAAAATTTACATTGTTTATTTTGACCTTGGCAATCATCTTCATATCTGCAAAATTTCCAATACTCCCCTATCCCTCCTGACCTGTTGCTTTTTCAGAGAGGTACTTCTGAAATATTACTAATTCTCCCTTACCAGTCCTAGCACCTCTTTCTGTAAATAAATACAGCCTTGTGTTCACTTCTAAAACAAGATCCCTAATCAACTGTGTAGAAGAGGCTGGTCAGTTGCATTCACTGAAAAAAAAATGGGATAACCTCATAATATTAATAAATGTGTGCAAATGCAATTTTGTCTTATAAGAGTCAGTATATTAATATGTATAAAAAGAACTTGGAAACACTGGAAATAAGTTTAGTGAGAACATCAAAGCTGTTGGAGAAGCTAACAAGAAATTATGGCTGCTTCTATATGGAAGCCCTATTGAATACGTTAATCACTGAATCCACGTAAATATGAATGGAACTGGGATGCAAAAGCTGTTTTGCTAGCGGTGATGATGGATTAGTGACTTGGTTTTCTCTCTTTCTCCCTCCCTCCCTATCTCTCTCTCTCTCTCTTTCTTTCTTTCTTCCCAGATCATTTCGTTTATGTCCTGCAGTGTAAAGTGGACTGTGAAGTTGACCTGACCCCAAATGTAGGTGGCTATTTTGTCGAGAAATTTGTGGCTACGATGTATCACTATCTTCAGTTTGCATACTACAAATGTGAGTTCTTGACTTGATTTTGGAGGCTTGATTTAAGGAGAGGTAGGATTTGAAGCAGTACCATCTTGTGGAAGCATTGGGTCAAAATCTACTGGTGGTTTGAGATAGGATGGGACAGTAGACATTTTTCCAATATCCTCCTTTGCTTCCTAACCCCTACCTACTACAGTAGAAGAATTTCTAGGTTTGGTTGTTTTTTTGTTTTTGTTTTACAAATTGAACAACATAATGTTGTCTGTAGCAAGAACATAAAACCTGGGGCTTGGAAACCAAAAAGTCAGAGTGCTTTTTCATCTGGCCTCACCTATGCTATCTCACAACGACATTTCAAAGTTTTTCTAGCTGTACCTGTTTTTTCAGCTTGTAAAAAGAAATTCTCTTAGTGAACTATCCCCTTTCAAAACTTGTTCAAAACTTCTGGATGGCCACATAGCCCCTAACCTGGAAAAACAGAGACTAAATCATTTTTTTCCTCTTTCAAGAAAATTCAGCAATTTTTTGAGTACATTGTGATTAAAATTTGATAAGACCAATAGAGGTTAATATTACTTTCAGGCTATATTTATAAAGACTTACTGTTTGGGAAAAAAGCTATCTTTCCTGATTTTTTTTCCTTCCCTTCTTTTTTTTCATGTTGTGCTTAAGATGTGTCTCTCCCACTAATCTGGTGTATTATTCTCTGCACAGTGAATGATATTAAGAATGCAGTACAGAGTGTAGCTAGCTACATGCTCTTTGATCCTGGAGATGAAGTCATGCAGCAAAACCTGGTTTATTATCGTTTCTACCGTGAGCGTTGGCATCTGGAAGAGGATGACTTCAACCCACGACCAGTACGAACAGGAATGGTGGTCGGGTTAAAAATTACTATATTGTTTCAGCTATATATTTTGGCTACAGTATTTTGGGACCCTTTTACAGCATTCCAGGGACAATGTGATTTTCTAGATTTTTTCCCCTTGATTGTCAAAGACATAGCTCCAAACTCAGGGGAAAAAACTTAGTATCAATCTCACCTCTCTCCTGAACTTGTAACAATTAGTCTTCTCATCTAGTTATTTGAGAATCTGTAAAAGGGATGCAATGGGAGCTGGGGAAGATGAGAGATTGAAGCATTGAGAGTCTACAGAAAGGTGGGAGGGCTGCATAAATGTTGCAGGTCATATTTTCTAGTTTCTGATATTGGGGCTTGATGTTTGTGCACCTCAATGGGATAAAGCAAGGTAGATTGTACAGTATGGCTTAGAGTAACCACTTTGGATTTTGGATAGTTTGTATAACCTGTAGTGCCATCATTGTCTATGGTTCTTATTGTAATAAAACAAGCCCCTGTCACAAAGAGCTTTTGAAAATTGCTAGAATGGCAGTCAATAGCAGAATAAAGAGAAACAAGGGTACCAGAGGATGGAAGTGAGCAAAACAAGTTTGATTACTTGATTATCACTCAAAAGGAAAGAAGACTAATAGTTGTGGGAAATACGAAATTTGAGATAAATAGAAAAAATGATACTGAAATTTCAGTAACTGACAGCAAACATGGTCTGCCAAGGCCTCTCATTTTTTTTGTTCCATATTGATACTGCTATATCAAATGGAAACTTTGTCAGAAGGGTGCATGTTAGATGCATTCCCACTATTCAATTACTTTTTCTAGTGCAATGACCTCATTGCTCCTGCAGCTTTACAACTGGAAGTGTCCAAGCCCTAAGACCACATGATTTGCAGCTGCAGTAATGTCTAGAGCTGTTCTAACTTGGAGGCTAGACAAGTGTTTGCATGCTTGAGTCTATTTGGTAGATTGTAGCTGGCACCAACACAGGCTCCAATTGTATAAAGTACAAATATTGTTTATTGTTCTCTCACCTGTTCTGGCTGATTGTTTTCTCTCTGATATTCTTAGGAGGCCTTGCATTACCATAACTGGACATCCACACAGAAGAAACTCTTGGAGTTTGCCAGGCAATATCTCCAGCCGGATGATGAGGTGAGAACTTGGGAGACAGATAAAAATGTGATAAATTAAGAGCTAGCTTTTGTCTCCTTTAGTCCAACTTTGCCCCACTAAATTACTTTGAGGATGGCAAGTTCTAGATAAATCTATAAGACAAAAGGGAAATGTTTTATTTTCAGATTTTCTCAGCTGGAAAGAAAAGATTTGGCTACCTAAGGATTGCCATCAGGGTTTTGAGCTTCTACCTGGCATTACCCATACCTCTATTTTCAGAAATAAAGACTTTGTTATTGTTAATTGCGAAGTCGTGTCTGACCCATCGCGACCCTATGGACAATGTTCCTCCAGGTCTTCCTGTCCTCTACCATCTTCCGGAGTCCATTTAAGTTCACACCTACTGCTTCAGTGACTCCATCCAGCCATCTCATTCTCTGTCGTCCCCTTCTTCTATTGCCCTCAATCTTTCCCAGCATTAGGCCCTTCTCCAGTGAGTCCTTCCTTCTCATTAGGTGGCCAAAGTATTTGAGTTTCAACTTCAGGATCTGGCCTTCTAAAGAGCAGTCGGGGTTGATCTCTTCTAGGACTGACCGGTTTGAACGCCTTGCAGTCCAAGGGACTCGCAGGAGTCTTCTCCAGCACCATAGTTCAAAGGCCTCAATTCTTTGGCGCTCAGCCTTTCTTATGGTCCAACTTTCACAGCCATACATTGCAACTGGGAAAACCATGGCCTGGACTATACGCACTTTTGTTGGCAGGGTGATGTCTCTGCTTTTTAGTATGCTGTCTAGATTTGCCATAGCTTTCCTCCCCAGGAGCAAGCGTCTTTTAATTTCTTGGCTGCAGTCCCCATCTGAGGTGATCTTGGAGCCCAGAAAAATAAAATCGGTCACTACCTCCATTTCTTCCCCATCTATTTGCCAGGAATTGAGAGGGCCGGATGCCATGATTTTGGTTTTCTTAATGTTGAGTTTCAAGCCAACTTTTGCACTCTCCTTCTTCACCCGCATCAAAAGGCTCTTTAGTTCCTCTTCACTTTCTGCCATTAGAGTGGTATCATCTGCATATCTTAGGTTGTTGATATTTCTTCCGGCAATCTTAATTCCAACTTTTGATTCATCTAGCCCTGCCTCTCTCATGATGTGCTCTGCATATAAGTTAAGTAGGCAGGGCGACAGTATACAGCCTTGCCGGACTCCTTTTCCAATTTTGAACCAATCAGTGGTTCCGTGTCCAGTTCTCACTGTTGCTTCTTGACCCGCATATAGGTTTCGCAAGAGACAAATGAGATGGTCTGGTACTCTCATCTCTTTAAGAACTTGCCACAATTTGTTGTGATCCACACAATCAAAGGCTTTTGCATAGTCAATGAAGCAGAAGTAGATGTTTTTCTGGAACTCCCTAGCTTTCTCCATGATCCAGCGTATGTTGGCAATTTGATCTCTAGTTCCTCTGCCTCTTCGAAATCCTGCCTGTACTTCTGGTAGTTCTCGATCCACATACTGCTGGAGTCTAGCTTGTAGGATTTTAAGCATACCTTTACTAGCATGTGAAATGAGTGTAATGGTGCGATAGTTTGAACATTCTTTGGTATTGCCTTTCTTTGGAATTGGGATGTAAACTGACTTTTTCCAATCCTGTGGCCACTGTTGAGTTTTCCAAATTTGCTGGCAAATTGAGTGTAGCACTTTTACTGCATCGTCTTTTAAGATTTTGAATACTGGAATACTGTCACCTCCACTAGCTTTGTTGTTGCTCAGATTTTCTAAGGCCCATTTCACTTCACATTCTAGGATGTCTGGTTCGAGGTCAGTGACCATCTCATTGTGGTTATCTGGGATGTTAAGCTCATTCTTGTATAGTTCTTCTGTGTAGTTTTGCCATCTCCTCTTAATCTCTTCTGCATCTGTTAGGTCCCTGCCATTTTGGTCCTTTATCATGCCCAACTTTGCATGAAACATTCCCTTCATATCTCCAATTTTCTTGAAGAGATCTCTGGTCCTCCCTATTCTGTTGTTTTCTTCTATTTCTTTGCACTGTTCATTTAAGAAGGCATTCTTATCTCTTCTAGCTACTCTCTGGAATTCTGCATTCAATTGGGTGTATCTTTCTCTTTCTCCTTTGCCTTTCACTTTCCTTCTTTCCTCAGCTATTTGCAATGCTTCCTCAGACATCCACTTTGCTTTCTTGCATTTCTTTTTCTTTGGGATGGTTTCAGTTGCTACCTCTTGTACAATGTTGCGAACTTCCATCCATAGTTCTTCAGGTACTCTGTCTATCAGATCTAATTCCTTAAATCTATTTGTCACCTCTACTGTATATTCATCAGGGATATGATTTAGTTCATACCTGAGTGGCCTAGTGCTTTTCCCTACTTGTTTCAATTTAAGCCTAAATTTTGCAACAAGAAGCTCATGATCTGAGCCACAGTCAGCTCCTGATCTTGTTTTTACTGACTGTATAGAGCTTCTCCATCTTTGGTTGCAGAGCACATAGTCAATCTGATTTCTATGTTGACCGTCTGGTGATGTCCATGTGTAGAGCCATCTCTTAGGTTGTTGGAAAAGAGTGTTTGTTATGACCATTGTATTCTCTTGACAAAATTCTATCAGCCTGTGCCCTGCTTCATTTTGTACTCCAAGGCCAAACTTGCCTGTTATTCTGGTTATCTTTTGGCTTCCTACCTTAGCATTCCAATCCCCCATGATGATAAGGACATCATTTTTTGGTGTTAATTCTATAAGGTGCTGTAGGGCTTCATAGAACCGGTCAATTTCATCCTCCTCAGCACTAGTGGTTGGGGCATAGATTTGGACTATTGTGATATTGAATGGTTTGCCTTGGATTCGAATTGAGATCATTCTGTCATTTTGGGGATTGTATCCCAGTATTGCTTTTCCTATTCTTTTATTGACTATGGAGGCTACTCCATTTCTTCTGAGGGATTCTTGCCCACAGTAGTATACCTGATGGTCATCTGAGTTAAATTCACCCATTCCTGTCCATTTTCGTTCGCTGATTCCTAAGATGTCGATGTTCAGTCTTGTCATCTCTTTTTTGACTACGTCTAGCTTGCCTTGATTCATGGATCTTACATTCCAGGTTCCTATAGAGAAAAAATCTTTACAGCATCGGACTTTCCTTTCACCACCAGATATATCCACAACTGAGCGTCCTTTCGGCTTTGGCCCAGTCGCTTCATTCTTTCTGGCGCTTCTAGTACTAGCCCTCTGCTCTTCCCCAGTAGCATATTGGACACCTTCCGACCTGAGGGGCTCATCTTCCAGCGTCATATCTTTTTGCCTTTTACTGTCCATGGGGTTTTCATGGCAAAGATACTGGAGTGGTTTGCCATTTCCTTCTCCAGTGGATCACATTTTGTCAGAACTCTCTGCTATGACCTGTCCGTCTTGGGTGGCCCTACACGGCATAGGTTATAGCTTCATTGAGTTACGCAAGTCCCTTCGCCACGACAAGGCAGTAATCCATAAAGGGAAAATAAAGACTAGAAAGACTAGAAACTTGTAAATGGTTATTTTTTAAAATGTTGGATTCTGTACCAAATAATCCATCTGAAACAGTCCATCTACAGAAGATAGAAGAGTCTAGGTTCTTGATTGCTTTGCTTCTGACTAGTTCTTCTGTCCTGCTTCAGGGAGAGGTCGATGAAAGAGTCAATGGGGTAAAAGAACCAGCATTGCCATCTGATGCCGAGTTTGAAGACATTGGTGACTATGAAGAGGGTTTTTTGTCTGAATGGTGGCAGGAGCCCAGATCAAAAGGAGACAAAGGTGACGAAGGTAATTGACCACAAAACTGAAGGACTGATTGTTCACCTTCCATTGCTCATTCTTGCCTATATCCCCTACATTGGGTTTCATCGCTGTTTGTTGTCTCATTTCCCTTGCATGTCTGTCTTTAGTTTGCTTATATTGAAGTGTGTCTGTCTGACCTTTTGGCTGCAGGAGCTCAGTTCAACTTTTTTTCAAATTTCATGTATGCACAACTGTTTCTCCTCTTGTCTTCTTCCTCTTTCAATGTTCTGTAATTTGCAATTTATTGTTGTGAATGCTATATGGTTCCTGCAGGAGCAGCAGTGAGCAAATTAAGTTTTTTCATTGATTTTCCAACCCCTAGTGGTGGATAATACCTGGAAAAGATAATCCACACACTGTCCCTGTAGAACGGCTGCAAAAATGTTTTTTAATCTTCTTTGTTCTTTGTTCACAGAGAGACTTGATTGAGCAATATGCTTCCCATAATATCTGCAGATGAAGGGAAGGCACTGTTGATTTCTTGGACCTACCAAAGTAGACTTTGAACTGGCAAGATGCATTTTGATATGATTCCAACATTTTCTGTGTCTTTTGAACCTCACGTACCTTAATATCTCCAAAGACTGGGAAAGTTCCACCAGCAGAACATCTCTGCAGAATATTTAGATCCACTTCCTCTCCTGCAAGTGGGTTGGTAAAACAAGAACAGCTCTGAGCTAATCCAGGGAGCCTTCCCACTTCCCAGTGGAACCTCATTTCTAAAAAGTACTGTGAATGGGCTTGGAATAAAAAAAAAATCTCAACACAAAGGACTAAGAAAAAGCTGATGCTACACTTATTTCTGGTTTTATATATTTTGCTTTGTGACCTTGTATATGTTGGGAACCAAAGTTCTTACCCATCTATGAAAGCACCCACAAGTAGTATGTGCATAACTGGATTTTCCATATTCCAGATTTTCATGGGATTAAACACCCTGTTTGCCCAAAGGGAGGACAATCCCAATAATTAACTTTTAAGTCTGTGTATAGCAGAGACCTGGAGGAACGTTGTCCATGGGGTCGCGATGGGTCGGACACGACTTCGCAATTAACAACAACAACAATAGCAGAGAACTTATAATCTATCTGCAACATCATGGATTCTTTTCACTATACCCAATTTAATGGACTACAAACACAAAAGAGCTAACAACAACATAGGTCCCTAGACAACATACACAAATATTCATAGTATAATTGCTCTCAGACAAAAGCAATGGCATGCCTTCTCCTGCCTTATTGGGAGGGCTCATTTTGGGAAGGCAGGATCTTTCCCCTCTGCAGTTCTGATCTTCTCTTTTTCTTTCTTTTCCCTTCCCATCTTACCATCGTTTTCTGTCTTTCCTGTTACTGTTGGAAAAAGGGAGGTGTAAATGTGGTTTATGTGGTTCTGCATATGAGAGTGGTTGGTGTGAAAAAATAGAATGGTCGTCATATGCATATAGGAAATGAATTAATGTTATAATATATTATTTTACTTGACTAAAGTAGTTAGCAATTTAACTGATAATTTATTTTGTAGTTCTAGCCCTAAATTTCTTTGGAGCAACTTTTGATCTGTGTGTATACACCCAAGCACAGTTACATGCTTTCACATGTAGGTGTATAGATGAATAGGAGACAGGCCAGATAGGGGACCTTTGCAAAAATTGTGTGTATGTGTGTATGTGTTTGTGTGTATTACTTTCCCTTTTGTGTCCAGGGAGCAAATCATTCTAAATTAAAGATTAATTTCCTTTTAAGTAAATAAAGTTCAAACAGTCAGATCTTTCCTCTGAAAGTAGGAGTCAGTTTCTTACACAAGAAACATGAAAAGTGAGCATGGAGAAAAATGGTCTGAGGATGAGGGCTCTGCACTTTTAGAACTGGGGACATGTTCAGCTCAATAATTAGCTTTCAGGACTAGAGTTGCTTTAATGTCATTCATGTGCAGGTTTTACTCCTATCTTTTACTTATCCATAAAATTTTATGTATGTCACTCATCCCACAAAACTGGGCAATAGTTCTTTCTACTGTTACTATTTTTTTTAATGAGGGTGAAAATGCTTGTAGGTCAGCTGCAAATCTTCTAACACATCCCAGGCTTTCCTTGTGTTCAACCTTGCCTTGGAGCTTTTCAAGAATCAGACTCCCAAGACGCTCATGTTCTCCCCACGTGTGCACTGAGAACCTGCAGTTAATGGGCTATTCGTTAGCTTTTCTGAAAGCAGTGGTATTTTAAAACAATTTCATCAAGTGTTTTCTTTTTTACATTCAAAGAGCTGCCTTTGTTTTTCAGTTAATTTAAACATTTTATTTTGTACAGATTTTTTTATTAGTTATAGCTATATTTTAATAAAAAATCTCTCCTAGTCTGTCTGTCTTCAGGGTAAGTTTTTGCTGCTGTCATCCAAAATCTGTGATATTTTCTTCCTTGAGATATTGAGAAAGCATGCCTTTGTAATTCCTGAAAAAGGAACAGTTTTGGCTGGGAAACTCTGGATGCTGGTCTAGTAACATTTGGAGAATGTCAGTCTGCACATGGACAACTATTCATGATGACAAAGATGGCAAATTTAATACCTGGAGACAGCAGAATAGAAGGGAAAGAATTGGAGAAGATAGCAAAATACAAAGACCTGCAAATAGAAATAGAACGACTCTGGCAAAAAAAAAAGCAAAGGTCATTACCAATAGTAATAGGTATGTTGAGTACAATCCTGAAATAATTGGAGCATCACTTAGATACCATCAGCATTGACAGATTCACCATCAGTCAATTACAAAAGGCAGCTTTATTCAAAACAGTTTACATCCTGCAACAATATCTGTAACACCACCAAACATCCATATCTGCTTATCTCAGTTCCTTGGGAAGGACTCAATATGTGGACAAAAATGCCAAATCCAGTCTGAACATCTGGTTGACTGTGCGATGAACCATAATAATTAATTGGATGGGGAAACCTCAGACGCAGTATATTTTAAACTATATTGGAACAAAATCATTTGGCTACCTGCTAAGTTAAAAATGGTATTGCCTTAATTGGTCAGTTATCATCTGCAGACTTTAGGTGGTCTCAGAACCCATCCTTAAGCAAAATGACAAAAATCTAGAAAAACAGAGAAAATTGCAACAGGTATTCATGCCAGTTTAATATATTTCCTCCTCTTTTTCTATGTATTTATCATTTTATTTGAAGAAATGTTCAGAAAAGCTTGAAAGATTGCAATTACAAAATTATGGGGGCCATAATAAAAAGTGTTACAGTGGCAAATATCTGTAGCTCAGATGTAGGATGAGGGGGAAGGTTCGTTCTCCAAGCTTGTGGATTGAAAGTTTCGTTGCCAGGCTAAGTAGCATCTTAAGTGGAGCTTAGGATAGTTTGGAGAATGAACTTTCACCCTCAAAGTATTATCCCTGTGGGTTTGTGAATTGGATTGTTTTAAACTCATGATCAATACCATTACAACTTTTCTTTAATGTCTATGACATTCTCAATCATCCAGGTCATGGTTGTCCCAAAAGTACTTTTTCCAAAAGGCAATTGGATTTTCTTGATTTCTTTTTTCTATGAAAATATTTCACTTCCCATTCAAAAAGAATGGAAAAAGCTTTTTGGATAGAAACAAAACATTTTCAGAGAAGAAAAGTCCCAGAAAGTCCAGTTGCCTTTTGGGAAAAGCACCATTGTTCTTTAAATAATTTCAATATTACTACATAAAAGTAGTAAATTATCTATCCAATGCTATGGTTAGCTGATTGGATGCAGCTTTGTATTTGGAATTGACAGTGAAATCAATGAAACTTGGAATTAAGTAATGACTTTTCTAGTTTCACTGAGCATTTTCTGTGACCAAGTCTGGATTCAGCCACAAATTTTCTACCTACTACATAATATTTCTCAATAATAATCTCTATATTCACCCTTGAGTCATTGAGTGATAGATATAGAAAGAGACAGAGATGGTTCCACATCTGATGAGCTCACTGGTGTTCCCCTCCAATTTTATTGACTCACAGTAAGTTTATTCTGTTGCAGAAGTAGGCAGCTTGGAGTCATCAGTTTAGCTTCTTATCATGGCTCTAAATTGCTTTGGGATGTTTTATGGATTTTTAAACATCTGCTTGCAGACCCAGCTATACAACTATCTGAAAAATACCATATGCTAAACGGAGTAATTAAGATGCATGTATTTGTGAACCAGCTTAAGAATTACAGAAATTCACATTAGTCAATATAGATTGTTGTTGTTAGTTGCGAAGTCGTGTCCGACTCATCGTGACCCCATGGACAATGTTCCTCCAGGTCTTCCTGTCTTCTACCATCTTCTGGAGTCCATTTAAGCTCATGCCTACTGCTTCAGTGACTCCATTCAGCCACCTCATTCTCTGTCGTTCCTTTCTTCCATTGCCCTCAATCTTTCCCAGCATTAGGCTCTTCTCTAATGAGTCCTTCCTTCTCATTAGGTGGCCAAAGTATTTGAGTTTCAACTTCAGGATTCGGCCTTCTAAAGGGCAGTCAGGGTTGATCTCCTCTAGGACTGACTGGTTTGAGCACCTTGCAGTCCAAGGGACTCGCAGGAGTCTTCTCCAGCACCATAGTTCAAAAGCCTCAATTCTTTGGTGCTCAGCCTTTCTTATGGTCCAACTTTCACAGCCATACATTGCAACTGGGAAAACCATGGCCTTGACTATACGCACTTTTGTTGGCAGGGTGGTGTCTCTGCTTTTTAGTATGCTGTCTAGATTTGCCATAGCTTTCCTCCCCAGGAGCAAGCGTCTTTTAATTTCTTGGCTGCAGTCCCCATCTGCGGTGATCTTGGAGTCCAGGAAAATAAAATAGCTGTTTGGAATTCATGAGCATTGAGACCAGACAGATGCCATTTACATCAAGAGCTTCGTGTTCTCTTTCCTATTTAGAGAGCATTTCATTTTATTGGTCTTCCCATCCTACTATCCACTAGATGTTCTTGGATTCCTGGTAAGCAGGCAAGGAATTGTACCCCAGTACTTCAGAAGGCTGTTGAAGGATGCTTTAGTAGTATGTGATCTGCATACATTCTGAGCTTTAGCTTGAGCAAGGCAACTAGTTGCAGCAGCAGGAATGAAGCTTCAGAAATAAATTGTTATGGTTGACTCAGAAATGAAAGAGAGAAGATGACAATTTTGTATGTTCAGTACACATACGACCCTAGTCATGATGCCACCATTGCTTTTTCTTCATTCTTCATTTTCTAACTGGCCTTCCTGCTTTTTTAATGCAACAGTCTGAATTTTCCAGTAGGTGGCAGGTTTGGGCTTTACATAAGCCAGTTATGAAAGCTATTACATGTAGTGTTTAACTGTCAAGAGCTAAATATTTCTAGACTAAATTTCTGGCATGGTGGGAGCAAAAAATTTCACAGCCTCATTTTTGTTCCAGATGTGGCTGCAAACTGGATTCAGATTGGTGGGATGGTTCTTTTTCCAAAAGATGCCTGTGGCATTCTAATCCACATGCCTGTTTAGCCATCTGCATCAGATTTGAGATGTGAAAATGCTAGGAAGGAGGAAATATTTGTTCGAAGATATCCATCTTGCATGGTCTTCCATAGCAGGAGGAGGAGAGCACACCACAAACACAGCAAAGTTGTGACGAAACCATATCAGTTGATAAGTTAACTTAAGGAAGTTCACAGAAAGACTTTTGTCTTTCCCTTTCCAGCAGCAATCCCATAGCAGTCATGCCACATATGAATCACTGACACTCCCTCCTGCTCTCAGAACTTACCAGCTTTCCTGAACACTTTCCTGGAACAGGACATGAGAGTGGTACAGCTTATAATGCATATTATCCAAGATGAATACAGCTAGTCCTCTGTTAACAGCAACAATGTTGTCGGAAGGCATGAAGTCACATGGCTATGCCGCTTACTGCGGGAAATTCTGGCCTTTCCACTGCTGTTGTTAGTGAATGGCCCAGGGGTGTTAAGCAAGGACGTCTGCTGGTGACCATCTTGTGACCTCCTGTCAGCTTCTTCACTGACTACTTGCAGAAAACTGGCAAAGATCCCAAAATTGTGATCATGAGGGATGCTGTGACCACATAAGTATGAGGACCAGTTTGGATTAGCATCATCCCAAATTTTAACATTGCTGAATAATTGCTGTTAGGCAAGGAACACCTGCATAATTGAATAAAGGTCAGTAAGCACAAAGGAATAATAATGGCATGTTGTTGACAAACAGACTGGTTTGTACAATAGGTCAGTGTTTATCAACTTCAGGCCATTTTAAGATGCGTGGACTTTAACTCCTGGAATTCTGGATGAAATGAATTCTATTTATTTTATTATTACATTTATATGCTGCCCATCACGCCTAGAAGCAATTCTAGATGGTTTACAAGTTAAAAGCCCCAGACTAAAATATTAAAATATTATGATAATAAATATTAACATCAAAATTTACAAAATTTACAAATATGGCAAGGAAGAGAGGAGGTAGAATCTTCTCTTAGTCCATTAGCTGCCTTCAGTATGACACACCCCATCGAGGCTCACTCATGCCACTTATCTTAAAATGGCCATGGCTGGGTAAGCTGCTAGAGATTAATCATTTCCCAATGACACTAACATCAAAAGTTTATTGGTATAAGGAAGTGCCAGGTCAGAAAAGATTTTCAGGTCAGCCAAATACATTAATTCTTTTCAGTGGCAATACAGAATGGAATATAAGAAAATCAAGTGGCCATTAGGTGTACATAAGCATACACATAGAATTAGGATTTGGAATAACAAGCTAACAAAATAACAAACAAGCAAACCAATATTTGTCACTAAGTTCATACTCAGCATAGATACATTCTCTTATTTATTAAGCTGGTCTCTTCCTGGAAAATCACTGAAAAACACTTTCTTTCCCACTTTCTCACACAAGTAACTGCTGCCTGATGCTTTCTCTCCCACTCTTCCAGTTTCGCCCATGGGCCTCACCCACTTTTCCCCGAAACCCTTTGGCCCCACAGCACTTGAGCTTATTCACCGTCTGTCACATGATTCACTGGGCTCCACCTGTACTCAGCACCACCTAGCAACCATGTACCACACCTTGGCAACTGTTTTATGAACATTCCAGAGGTTAGGCAGGTGTGCTGAAATTCACCTTTATTGTTCTTATTGTAAATCTTCCCAAAGGGTAGTGATCTCAACTAGTCCTCATCATGGAATCATTTAGGATTCTTTGCTTCCCGACCTGCCTTCTGTTGGGAACCAGAACTTCCAGAGCAGAGTGGAATGCAGGGAAAAGTCTGGAAGATTGGCACCCACAGTTAATAACGTCTGTGCAGTTCAAAGAATAGAGCCAACTCTAATGGTTTTAGTACTTCTATAAAGTGGTATTTATTTAGCTGCCTTCTCCAAAGTAGCACTTTTCAGGTATATTGAGGTTGGAAATATCAGGATGTGTGATCCCATTAAATCTGGGAAACTTCAATACAGGGATAAGGTTCCTGTGTGCTTTAATATTGGTTTGCTATTAGTGTTTGGCACAGTTATTCCAGGTGGATTACTGGCATGTGTTATAATGCAAGATTGCCTTTGAAGATGACTTGAAAGTTTAATTTTTGCACAAGATGGCAGCTAGGCTTTTAACTGGTATGTTTCTAGGTTCATGCTCCTATATCTATTTTAAAAGCACTTTATTGACAAGGCTGGATATCCTCTTACGGGTGCATTCCACTTTTTAAACCTCTAACTGCTCTAAAACCCAAGCACTTGAAGGAGCATTTATTCCATATATCAAGTGGCTCCTGCATTTTAAAAAAATATCCTTGGAGAGTCTCAGAATTAGAAGTTCATTAAGAAAGGAAAAAAGTTGGTCTCTGTTGCTGCCCTCATTTGCAGTTAATTAAAAATTAACACAATTTTTCCAGGAATTGCTACAAAAAGCAAACCAATAAATCTTTCCAGGAATTTTAAATTGTTTTTGCCTTTTTTCTAATGTTTTAGACATGCTTCCTAATAGCATGATGAGTGTCTCCAAGTGTTTTCAGTGAAGGAATGCTGCTAAGAATCCTTTTTGTCCCCTTTGTTGGCCAGTATTTCTGCTTTCATGTAATTTTCAAGGCTAAACACTATTGATAGAAACAAGAAAACTGCATCAAAATGTGGCAATGTGAGCCTTAGCTTCCAGAAGGAGATATATTAAAGCTTCCAGCTAATTCTATGTATGCCTGCACTACTCTTATTTAGAATCTGTATAGTCGGATGGAGAAATTCCAACTCTAGCAATCCCCAACAGCATAGCCGGTGGAGAGAAATTATGGCAGCCATTGTTCAGCAACATTTGGAAGATATAGGCAACTCATCCAAGACTTCTCATCAACCTTGTATGCCAATTAAATATGTTCCATACTTCTTGGATTGTATTTTGAGATAAAAAGCAAGGTTCTACATTTAGGCAAGAAAAACCAAATGCACAAGTACAGTATAGGTGGCACCATGCTCAACAGTAGTAACTGTGAGAGGGACCTCGGAGTCCTAGTGGACAATCACCTAAATATGAGCCAGCAGTGTGCTGCAGCTGCCAAAAAGGCCAACACAGTGCTAGGCTGCATTAACAGAGGGATAGAATCAAGATCACGTGAAGTATTAATACCACTCTTCAATGCCTTGGTAAGGCCACACTTGGAATACTGCATCCAGTTTGGTCACCACGATGTAAAAAAGATGTTGAGACTCTAGAAAGAGTACAGAGAAGAGCAACAAAGATGATTAGGAGACTGGAGGCTAAAACATATAAGGAATGGTTGCTAGAATTGGGTATATCTAGTTTAACGAAGAGAAGGACAAGGGGGGACATGATAGCAGTGTTCCAATATCTCAGGGGCTGCCACAAAGAAGAGGAATCAAGCTATTTTCCAAGGCTCCTGAAGGCAGGACAAGAAGCAACGGGTGGAAACTAATCAAGGAGAGAAGCAACACAGAACTAAGGAGAAACTTCCTGACAGTGAGAACAATTAATCAGTGGAACAGCCTGCCTCCAGAAGCAGTAAATGCTCCAACACTGGAGGTTTTTAAGAAGAGACTGGACAGCCATTTGTCCGAAATGGTGTAGGGTTTCCTGCCTGAGCAGGGGGTTGGACTAGATGACCTCCAAGGTCCCTTCCAACTTTACTACTATTACTATTACTTTTATAAATCTTCTAAACATGCTCATACTTTCCTCTTGTTTTCAGGGATCTCGTTCTAGCTTCATCTCTGTGGGCATACACTGCCCTAGGTTAATTATTATTGAAGGAAAATAGTCATCCATGGAATTTGTCCTATTTATAAAATGCCGTCTGGACTC